CCATCGCTATGAGGTTGGAGGCCATCGCTATACTAGGTTGGAGGCCATCTAATAGGCTGGAGGCTATGATGCCATCGCTATGAGGTTGGAGGCCATCGCTATACCAGGTCGGAGGCTATCACTAATAGGGTGACCCTGGTTTTCATGAGCAGTCCATTGTGCAATAACCCATGCCGATTCTTTTTTGGCCTTTGATCTGCCATCTTGTCCACACGCCAATCACCACAAACGGAAGGACTATATCACTCTGGGCTATACATGGCAACTTGAACAAAAGCAGCCCCTTCTCTGGCGCCATTCGGATCCACATTGCCTGATTGAGACCAAAATCCCCTCTTAAGGTGGTGGTTCTTTTCCCTGAAACCTTCCACCCATCCCTTCGCCCAAGGGACATCTGTAGCTGGCCACTCCAGGCCGCCACGTGCAATGCGGTGGATCCATCTGAGTTCGTGCGAGTGAGCTCAGCCAGAGCTTCCATCAAGCTCCGGCAGACGTCCTTGGAAAATGGGTGAAATCTTCAAGAAGCTTGGCCATTGCAAATGGAGTCAGCTCAGCAATTGTTTTTCTGAAACGACTATTTTGTAATGTGAATGTGGTTCATCATTTCAATCAACCAGTTCTTGCAACATGGCTGAGGCACAAGAAGAAATGCTTGGGAAGGCGTTTTGCCAGTCCACTTAGGGAGTTGATGGACTACACCAAAACCCATCAGAAGCGATTGGAATCCAATTACTCGATCACTGTCTATCCAAGGGAGTCCATAGGTCCCTTGTGGCATGGTCTCTTCACCTTCGCTTCACTCTCTCCAATTCCCATCCATCCCACTCCGCTCGAGTGGAGTCTCCACATTCCCGTTGATGGCCGCAATGTGCAGTGGAGTCCATCCCTCTCCCTCCGATCCATTTGGATCGGCCAGCTGCTTCAGCAAGCGCTGCGCCTGGCGCGCCGAAGGCGCTGGGAACGGCCAGCGGCGAAAAAGGATGAAAAAGGGGGGTCGAAGGGTCTGGGAGTGTGCTCCAGTTCGGAAGATGAGTTAAATGGGCCGCAGTCCGCAGTCAGCAGCGTTGCGATGTTCGTTGATTTGGGGCGCAAGTGCCTGCAAAGAAACCCACTTCTCAGACGTCATTTGCGTCTATGTACTGTAGCTGAAAATCCAACTACACTTCATCTCGAAAGGATCGGCCGCGAAGTCAAAAACGCCGCATCGGAAGTCCTTCTGGCCGTCGCCCTCCTCTGCAGCATTGAGCAAGTGAACTGTCAGGTCTTGCCTGGAAAAGACAAAAACACTCAAAGAAATGGCGCAAAGTCAAGAACAGGGAATCGCCAAACCATGCAAAGTTGATACACTATGATACACTCAATTTGCTGGCACCAGGCGTGCAGGCTGGGTGCATGCAGCAATTTGCGGCATGCATGAAGCATTCACTTCACGGATGCCACATCCAAAAAGGCCTGAATTCTTTTGGACTAGGCCTAACTAGATGTGGTCAACATAAATATGTTTAAAAAGACACATCAAACAACACCTTGTCAAAATGCCAGAGATGCTGATAGTCCAACACCACCAAGCTGATCTGCTTGGGCACTTGGCTTGTCTCCTCGGTCACCTCAGCCTCCTCGGCTGTCCCACCGTAACCTTCGGCCCTCACCAAGCGCTGGCGCAGGGGCGGCACATGCAGGCGCTGGTGGAGGAGCAGCTTCAGGTCCCGAACCGTTTCAAAGTCCTGGCTTCGTCCCACGTCTTTCGCGTCGTTCGCTGCGTCGTTCGGTGTTTCGTCGAAGAAGCCGGGTACGATGCCCATGGTCTTGCGATGCTGAAAGGCTCATGGACTCATGGGCATAAGATCTGCTGAATGTGGCCTTGGAGAGCATCCTACTACTGTAGTAGTATAGTAGATGTAATGGCAAAGTTTCTGGTGCCATATGGCGCCTTCAGACTCTGAAGCTAGGGGATGTTCTCTTCTTCCGCTCCTTGCTACTGCGTTTGCTTGGGATGCGACGAGGATCCTTCCTTCTACGACGAGGTTTTTCCCTGGCAAATCCCTAAAACACCTGGTCTGCAAGCGATGCAAGCGACGTCCAAAGGCCCAGGGATTCGAATCCTTGTGATGCCATCTTAGCCTTATGAAGAACCCTGCCACTCCGAACTCAGGTACTAGCTCAGGTCCGAACAGCAAACAAGCCCCCCCAAAGAAAATGGGCCTCAATGGGTAGCCGAGCCAGCTGCACGCCCGCCATGTTGAGAATCACCACATCACCTGCTGCGACGCTCGCCGCTCTTCTTGCTCGACAGGTCGTCCCGCGACCAGGTGGGCGACGGCGGTGGGCCAAATGGATCGCCCAAGACGGTACTGTACTACTAGTAGTTAAATAGCTGCTAGTAGCTTCTAGCTACTAGTAGCAATGGCCTCCAACCTACTAAGGTTGGCCTCCAACCTACTAGCGATGGCCTCCAACCTGATAGCGATGAGTAGCCATGCACCTTGTTCACCTTGTTCCTTACTGTCAGTCTTATCAGTCTTATCCGTCTTTCCGGAGCAGCACCAGCGAAAACCAAAGCATCCGATGGTGAGAGGCAACTCCCGGAAGCGAAGCGATCTCACCCGGGGAAGATCGGGGAAGTGCGATGCTCACCCGGCACTGGAGATGTGGCTGTCATGCTTTACACTTGACACCCTCTTTGTAGAACCAGTGTGGGTTATGATACTGTATTTTACAGGATCAGCTCTAATAGTACTAACTACCTAGCTAACCCTGCTAGCCCGGTAAGCGCTACCTTTTGCTCTACCTTGAGAGTCAACGCTACGGGGTCCATGGGGATGAGGTGAATTTCAACACCCCCCTTTACAAGGAGCTACCCGTAGGGAAAATCTCGGGGAGGATCAAATTCTAGCGACGAAGGAATCATATTAGAAATCCCTCATCAAGCTCGTGCATACACTATACAAGGAGAACGTAGCTACCCTAATGTACAGTTTTCGCCTCACTCGGCATGTGGTTAAACATGCTAGGCCCAGGTTAGTGTTAAGCATTGATTAAAAGTTCACTCTCCGACTATGGCAATCCTGTTATGGATGCATTGGGAAGTGAGACAATGAAGTGAAACATCATCTCACAGCGCGTCAGAAGGTGATCTTTATCTCAACACTCATAAGCTGCAAGGCATACCATTTATGGTAGCTATTCAACATCTGCTTAAAGAAATTGTATTCCAAAACGCTCCGTCTCGTCATGCCATCCCTGCCTCAACCACTCCCACAATTCCATGTGATTGGGCCAATAGTTCTCGCCACATGGGTCATCGCGTTGCCATTGTACTCCAGGAAAATCAAAGGGTTCCAATGGTCGATCAATAGTTCCACGAATGCTGGAAGTCGGCGGTCCAGTTAAGGGTGCATTATGTGACGATGATGCCGAAGCGGATGAAGTTCCGGGTGGCAATGGCGGCGGTGGCACGTTTTGTACATTCCATTGCTGTGGAGCATAAGGTCCTCCTCGAACACTCACCTGCTGCTTATCCTTGCCCTTTCCTTTTACGGAAGGTTGCAACCGACTGTAAAGGTCTGTAAGCGGCGGCGGCTTCGGCGTGAGATTGAAATCTGTCGGCCTTGTATGTACCGGAATGCCACTGGCTGTATTGGGTGGCACTTTCGGTGGAGGAACCTTTGGAGGAGGCACCTTTGTTGGTGGGACCTTCGGAGGTGAAGGTTTTGCTGGACGTGGTTTTGAAGCCGGGGATAAGCCGGCCGTTGGTGCATCATTTGGTGCAGGTGGTGGAGGTGGTGATGCTGGGGCCTCTTTCACCGGTACTGACGGTGGATTGGAAGGAGGCTTTGGGATTGACGGTTTTGCAGGAGTGGATGGTGGAGTGCGAAGTGGAGGACCCAAAAGGTCCTTGGGAATGTTGCCACGCTTAGGTGGAAGGTCTTCACGGCTGCGAGATATTGCACGGGCAACTGAACCACGTGGCGTCCCTTTTGCGGGAGCAGTGGAACCTGACGCAGAAGAACTGCCTTGCCCTTTGCCCTTACCGGCAACATCTCCTCGCACACTGGCATCCCGTTTATGGGAGTCTCCTTTGCCTGATACTTGTCCTTGAGCAGGAGGTGCATTCATACTGAATACCGACGAGGTATGCGTCCCTGTTACGGGAGCTGGCGGCTGAGGCACGCCTGGCGGTGGAGTCCGGTTGTCAACCCAAGTTGCAATACGACCAGATTGATCTCGGTCTTCTTTCCTCCTCCACTGCAGCCTCGGTCGTTTGTCTGCATCTCCAATAGTCTCCATATACATCTGCGATCGCTTCCGCGTCAACGGGGGCCTTGTTACAGGTCCTTGAGGAGATGGGGATCCACGCTGTCCAAACTCCAACAAAAGTTCTTCCAACCTTCTGACTTCGTCAGATGACATGTCCTGGCCACAATCGGCAAACTTGGGATAAGGCGTGGCCATGCGCTGTTCGATGTTCATGAAGCCCATCTGTGAAACTGGCTGTCCACGATCGCGTCCCTGCATATTTGCAGACTGTTGCGCGTTTCTCTGATATTGAATGTTTGCATAACTTTCATTCTGCTCTGCAAACTCACTCAAAATCTTGTAAATGCCTGTCGTGTCTCCACGAGGAATACGAATTGAATGAATATCGCCATAGACGTCCGTCGTGGGGATAAAGCCCTGGATCTTGATCTCATCTCGGCTATCGCCAATTACGGCGGCGTATTGTCGGAGTGACATAAACTCTCGGCGATAACTGATCAGAAAGTCCTCGTCGACGCCTTGCTTGAAACAGGTATGTAGGTTGTCAACACCGCATCGAATATACGCGAGCTTGGCGAGGTCAACCCTGTCCAGTCGATCCAAATCACTGACAACCGACTTCCCTTTTGATCTCTGCTTCGCTGATCTCGTGGGCGCCGGTAATTGCAGTGACGCAAACAAGTCTTCTTGCGCTGCATCAAACGCTGTGCATCCTTCTCCGGTTAAGGAGGTGGCGAAGACGTCGTCGCGGTTGAATCGATCGAATACATTCTCATACCCTGATTTCAATGCTTTGCGAAGGCGACTGCGAGCTGCAAGAATAATCTGACTGTCAACTGACGGGCTGCCACGAGCTGGAGGTCGTCCAGACTGTAGGTCCTGCGCGGCAATGCTGTCAAGCATGCTTGTTGCGGTCATGTTCTTGGGCACGCCCCCCTGCTCTTGTAGCACCTTTGCACGCCTCATCTGAAGTCGCATAAACTTTGAAATCGGTCCATCTGTTGTATTGCTCTGAAATACTACTCCGCATCGATGACAAGATGCCATTCCTGCTAAGGAAAGTGTCGTACATTTATCGCAGCTGAAAGTTCGAAGATGTAGAAAATATCCACTCTCGATCTGTGGTACAGCTGTATTGCGATTTGCCTCCATCTCTTCCTTCTTTGCGGCACTGCTGCTAGCTGTGCGTTCTTCGGGAGTGGCGTCGCTTGTACCTTCCAAAATGGTGCGTACTTCCGACACTTTTCCCGGGACCAATGTCACATCATCTTGCGGAACACCGATCTCAATGTTCGAAGGATCCAATGCCTGCGGCCTCGAATAGAAAACTTCTGGCTCCGCATTTGCGCGGGCTAGAGTTGCAAATAGAATACACGTATTCGGAACGTGATGGCTGGTAATCACCGCGCCAGAATTTGTGAGGAAAAGATCAACTCCTGCTTCAATCACATCCGGTGTTGAAAAACAAATCTCCACTGGTCGGTCAGCACGAACACCAGATATCGCCTTCTGGTTTCCCAGAGGTTGTGTTGAAAAGAAGGAATTGCCTTTGCTTTTCGGTCCACCGGCTCCACCGCCGGGAATGAGCCCGCTCGCAATAATGGATCGCGCAGCACCTTCATGCGTTCGGTGGTAAAGCCGAGGTGGTATATCGCGGTTCCCGTGCGCTGTCAAACGAGCATTGTACCTGTGTACATGGTCAGGACGGCAGTAGATTAGTACTGCTAGCACTTCATTTGATCGCGTCTCGAGAACGTCGTCAGTGTGGCCTTGTCCACATCGGATCTTGACGGGGGCGGCGAAAAGTTCGAGCTGCTCGTTCACACGAGAGTCGTACACGCATTGAAATTCGAAACGATCTTTGTTGTCATAAATAGCCATCGAAATCAACTCAAAAACATTCATAGAATCAGCATAATCAGGGAATTTGGCCTTCGCCAAATCTAGTAGTTTGTAAATTAGCAAATAACACGCCGGATCATAAATACTGACGTCTGGGACGTGTCCACGAAGAAGACCAGAAATACCGCGACGAACATGATATGGCCAGGAGCAGCACCACTCCCAAGGCCCATGATGATAATCCTCATATACATAATAATACCTATGGCCAGTAACGTGGTACAGCACGTACTGCTTGGCGTCGCGGCCCAGCTCATCCTCGAGGAGTTGGATGTTGCCATTCCCGATGGCCTTGAGTAGGTGATCCGGGTAAGGATACCTTCCGAGAACCTCTTCAACCTCGACCTGCATATTTTTGTACTCGGGGTTAGGCTTCGTCTCGCGAACGAGAACGCCCTTCCCTTTTCCAGAAAATTTCAAGTCGGGGTTGTCGTTGTTCTCAGGTGCAAGAAAGCTCCCCGTTACGGGAGCGACCGAAGGGGTGCCTTGTCCCTGCCCTTTGCCTCGCAATCGCGGCAATGGTGGTCTCGGGTCAGATGAAGACGCTTGACCCTCTGCGGGTTGGTCCGCGTCCGTAGGGATCATAGGAACATCTCCGGTTGCACCTTCTTCAACAGTCGTTTCATCATCAGCCAAAACATCA